ATTTAACGGGGAGGTGAGATATCTGGTCAAAGCCGATTGATGCGCATGAATTTGAGAGCAAAGCTGGAATTTACAAAAATAAATTTCCCCCAGAGTCGCATCGGCAATACATTTTTCCTGCCCAATCTGATTACCTAATCCATCTCATCGAGGCTCAAAGGTGACTTCCATTGTTCACTCTATGTAGCCAATGTGATAGTTAACTAACTAAAAGAACTTCCTCTTTGCTATTATAATAGAAATGATGTTTTAGATTTGTTGATTGCAATATATTATGAAAATTGCCATTCCAATATGAGAAAATTTTTTGGGTAACTCCGGTTAATGCGCTAACTAATTACATACAAATCATGCCTGCTCAAACACAGAACCAATAGTTTTCTAACGTATCCATAAAACGAAGCCTTACTTTCAAATGAACAATCCATGTGTTGGTGGCAATTTATCAGAATCGGCCCTGATCATCATCTCCATTTCTTTCTCGATGTTTTCAAACAGATCATGCAGTTCAACGTCTGCATAGATGATAATTGATTCGACGTCCTCGCGGTGACTATCTGCCGAGCTGTAATCAGATTCATCCGAGGAATATTGTGGTGTTGTTTCTTCTGGGACTCTGGGCGGCTGAGGCGGTGGAATGACAAGAGCGGCTACCATATGCTCCAGCAATTTTTGCTGCACTCTAGCCCTCCGCCCCTCTGCAAATTCAAGCTTAACCGCCCATTTGTCGATTGACTGATCGAGCTCAAGCAGGGCTTCTTCCTGCTTTAACAACCCTTCACGCGAAAAATTGGGTGTACTGCTGGCAGATTTGAGATACGAAATTACACGTGTGTGCAAGCGTTGCCGCCCTGAACGGAGCGAAGTGTGCGTTTCCCGAAGATATTCGCAATGTTTGTCAAGAGTTCGAAGTTCCTATTGATAATTCAGCATGAAGATCCGCTATATGAGGAAAACCAGAAGGCTTTGAAGAATTTACCTGCGAGAGCGAAATTACTTCACTGTGCTTTAACACCTCATACTGTTCTCCTTTTCTTCGTGCTTGGCTTTGAAGTAGTTCGATTTCGCCACCGGTTAGCACCGTAGAGGCGTTTTCTACAGAGCACCCAGGTGGTATATGTACTATTGGGACCTCTGAAACCCCTCTTGAACTAGGGCTTAGCCTTGTCTTGATCCTGGAACCCTGCTTCGATGGCGAGGTTCTAGTATTGCCATTTGAGGGAGAGTTCGTTCCTTTCTGTGACTCGGGTTGAGATGTTTTAAGTGGCTGTGGGGCTATTATATCTTGTATGGCCTTAGGGGAGCCTAGTGGTTGTATCGTCAACTTTGGAGGCGATCGATTTTCTAGCTTCATGGGTGTCATCGACCTTCGTTGCGGAATTTCAAATTCAATACCTGGGGTTGCGACCATCGGTCGAAGGGAAGCAGTGCTCGAACTCCCCGAGCTATATGCAGGATTTCTTCGAGGCCCCTTCCTCACAGCAACTGGTAACTTTTTCGGTGGCACCTTAGGTGGAACGTCATCCTCGTCTCTCCAGGTCGGGCTACGTCGGCCTATTTGACGACCTCTATTTTGCTCCCCAATGTTTGGAGATGGGAAGCCTCCGGGTAATTGTGTCGGTGAAAATCTAGCAGGCGGTGTTGGGCTGCTAATTTGGGCGGGAAGGGGCCCTTGTCTGTTTTCAGAAGATGAATTACTCGGACACGGTGATGCACGCCCTTCAGAAGTTGTTGAACAACTAGTTTCCCCAGGAACGCTATTCGATCTCTCAGTAAATGGCAAATAGCCAGGTATCGTCGCTATAACAAGAGGAGCATTAGCAGTATGACCCATCAAAAACCGGAAAACTAACTTACGTGAATCCATTGAGACTTGTTGATGAAATATACCCAAGAAGAACTCTGGGGCGCTACCGTGCCTTGGACGATTAAATCTAGTGTCTCTAAACCGAGACGTTCTTCTGTCGAACAAGTTGGTAGTCCGTTTTCCAGAGTTTGCAGCTGATTTCTTGAACGAAGGCCACAATTTTGATCTCTCAGTCCAACTAAGCTTATTAACTGGCTCCAAAGGAGCTCGATATACAACCTATTCCCTTCTCAATCAGCTAACTGCATTTCGAGTTATAGGTCGACAATGGATGGTTCATTACCTTCGGTGAAGTGTCTCTAGCAATAATGTTGTTTAAACCGACATGGACAGCAAAATGCTGTGTGCTTTTCTCAACCGTATCCATTACAAGATTGCAACTGGGAGAGTAAATATAATATAAAATGGAGATGGTAACCCGCTTGAACAAGGGGTTGTGGTACAGGGTGCAGAGTACTCCGTGTATAGACGATCACTAGGAGACGTAACCTAAAGATTATGGTGCGAGGATACTAATTATGTATACCCGGTTTGCTTGAGGTGACACTCCCTGTCTAGATCAAGCATTGTAATTTCTTGATTCATAAATTATCAGATACTTTTTGGGTGACTAGAAAGCCGGGGGTTGGCTCTATATATGGAATTTTACCCTATACCACACACGTAAATAACATTTCAAGAAGTTATTCTTCAGCAAACTTGTGCTGTCAATTTACGCCGTGCTTATCTAGGCGTATCCCAAACTTGTCTGCATATCCACGAGCAAACTTTACGAGCCCCTGCCTGGCTGGATATTGCATGGGGGCAACCCCAGGCTGTACTCCGTAGTGCTTCAACATCTCGTCTAAGCCCTTGAAGATTTTCCTTGGCCAGACCCGTACAAGAGAAGTGGCTGTGGTTCGTGATGGCCCGTATATATATTTCCCCTCCATACCTACGGAGTATACTTTGTTCTTATTTTTGTTCGAAATTAGCACTAAACGAACGGGATGGCAGATTCGACAAGAAAAGCTAACTACCTATAGTTATGGATGGAGTAGCAACAGCCAGGAAACTCCCGCACCCATTAGTTAGCTACAATGGAAGCTCCACCATGGGACATCAGCTAAATCCATGAAGAACTATGATGTACCCAACGCTAGAGGAATAACGATCGTATAACTCACAATTGGGGGCGGATTTGGTATCGCGGCTCAACGCCCATTCTTCACATTTCTCCACAAGGGAAGCTGAGAAGAAGGGGATCAGCGTGTCAAGACAAATCAAGCGCGAATATGAGACCGGGATGGTAAAAAAAAAACACAAGCACACACAATCAATCCGCTCACATGTGGTACGAGAAGCAGATCTCAGAGAACCCGTGTTGCATCTAATTTCCGAACAACAACAGGTACGCTGTACTTTTGGGTGGCTTTTTCCTTGTGCCTCCATCGATTTTCAATATTCTTCAATGAAGAGCTCCTTGGGGTTCCCATTATTCCCGTGTTAACATACCTGGCTGCCACGTTTTCATCCTTCTTTTCAAGCACATTCTCCCTATCTTTCTGTTGGGGATTTTTTCCCTCATTCTTGATAACTATGTGTATAATTGAGCGGGCATTTTTGTATAGAACGGCCATAAGGCTGAACACATTCATTAAGTTTCTGCGTATAGCTGGCAATCAGTGGGGGAGACACCAACAGGGTGATTGGGAATTCACGGGTATTCCAGTCCGTCTCCTGTGAACTCTGGAGACAAACTAGCCACATTTTCTGGGATGTGTATATATGGTGTCCACAAACCGTTCCCCCAAAGGCTCGACTTCACGAGCGAAGGAATGTATACTTCTGCATGCAAACAGGTACAGGCAAAGACTGGTATGAAACTGAAGGGTCTATTCTTAGCGAATTCTGCATTCGAATACGATCTTGACAGGCACTCCTCGTATTAGTGACAGGGGATATCGTAGCTAGCTGACCTCACAGAGTAAATTCGAACCAGCAGCGAACCTCGTTGGCCGATGTATTTTCAATTAAACCCTGTGAATGGGAGTAAAAGAAGAAGAACATTCCCGCTGAGGATTTATAAGTTCCGCTGCTTAATACTCACGGACTGGTTTAAGACCGTTTAACACAGTCGGAGGAAAAGAAAAATCGATCACTGTGAAATAGGGCTGGAGGAGCACCCAGTCTTTATTTTCATGGCTGGAAGGGTCAATCGATAGTGCGGCGAACTCGGGAGAACAAAAAGCCAATAACAGGGACAATTCAAATATGGTTCAATTATACTAAAAATAAGTGCATGGAAAAAGACGGTACGGAGTACTTTGTAGAGTTGATCTCAATCCAGGATCTACACAACTCTAAATTGGTAGACAATCATCATGTTGTTCATGGAGATGCTAAATATAACTAAAGGTGAAAATGAATCCGGGGCCTAGCGTGGGGAGTCGCCTAGTAGCAACCACCACGCCAGTGAACGAAGTTGGCTTCCAGAACTGTCACTAACAGCTTGTTTGTGTTGGATAACCATTACCTACTGATAACTATATAACTTCCCCAAAGCAGCTAATTTCTAAACCCGAGAACTAGTTCACCTAATAACTAAGTATTATGTTGTGAAACGCGGCAAAGTGCTCTAAGAATAACAACCCTTCAGCCTTCTAATGCAGTTGACTAACCAAACGGATAGGTAGAAATACGGTGACAGTTCGTATCGAGATTTCTTGCTGCAGGGCAGGTTGATTCATGCGCGGTTCGAAAAGGCCTGAAAGGAAGGGATGCATTCGATGAGGGTTTCCTGTTAGGGAGAGAGGGAGAGAGGGGAGAGGGAAGTGACAGTAGGGGAGTTGGGGGGGTTTGGTTTATACCCACCGGATACGTTCCAAGATGGAAAAAAGTACTTCCCAAGCAATAATATGGGCACAAAGGCACAACATACATCTAATTATTCCAAGAAAAGGGAAGCTGCCATGAGCAAGCTCTAACATAGTAGTCATCCCGCTAAGATTAAAGGCTTGAATTGAAGAAGATACACTAAAGTTGACTTGTCTAACTATTGCTAAAGAATAACCCTCTAGTTAAGGGAGTCATACTAGTATTAAAAAATGCTCAGGGCACGAAACTATAAACCGAGTGAAAATTGTACCAAATTGGCGCTGTGGCAGAGTGGTTATTGCGTTAGCCTTGAATTCATTTCAGTTAGCTAATTCCTTCGGGAGCAGCGGTTCGAACCCGCTCGGCGTCGTTTTCTTTTTTCTTTTTTTTTTCTTCTCAACACAAAACCATAGTTAATCGACTACTTCCATCACCTTGATTGATGCTTTCTATTTCTATTTCTATTTCTGTTCTGGCTCTTGTTTTTTTTTTTTTTTTTTTTTT